ACGAGTGTGGCTGGTAGTCTGGTAGCTTTATAGCAAACGGGTCACTCCATCGTTGCCCCCACACCTGTGCCAGCGAAAACAAAACGCAAAGTGTTTATGACAGTTCCTTGTGGAAAGATTGACAGACTGCTGTCTCAGCATATCTAGCATACACACGCATCAAAAGCTTACTGTAGCCATCCAAAGTGCTAACACAAACAGTCCGACATTAAAAATGCAGTTCATCATTGATAGTAGCAGCAGTCACTAACAGATCAGCAGTTGCACACGCGATCAATTTTAATCACATAAGGGCACCATCAACAGGCATCGCGCCATTTTCTGAACCTACAATTCACAACACCACATTGGTCACAGTCGAAAAAACATTCCAAATGAAATCCACAGCTCACAGTGTCACATCGTGCATTCAACTCAGAAGCTAGGCGACGAAACTATACCCTTTGTCTGCAAATGGAGCAAAAATGCAACGGCCACCGTCTGGCAGAAGCAAACAATTTGCCTCGGCTCCAAACAGTGCTCGTGCCCAGCGTCCATTTTGATCGGACTTTATGAATGTGTATGTACTGGTAGTGAGAAAGACAGTCTTGAGAAAGACAGTCTTCTTCTTCTGCATTTCTATCCCCCACTGGAGCATAGCCCCTTAACCAAATCACGCCAAGTCGTTTTATCCTTCGCCATTACATAGAGCTCTCCCCATGTCCTCCCCATCTTCCTAACTTCATTCTCCAGGTCTTTTCTCTGTTTTTTTTTTTACCTTCCTTTATTCCTATGCCCCTGTGTGTTCCATTGCAAAGACATTCTAGTTATGCTGTTCTCGGTAGCAGTATACAGTTAGTCTCGAGATGCCATTCATTGTCATGATGTCAAAATACAGTGAATAGACTTTGACGGTTAACATTGTGTCAGTGTTGTACACTCTGTTGTACATTGTATATTCAACCGAGTATTTAGGCCTAGGGTGCCTACTCTAGTATTCCGCTGGATATCTCCTTGATGGATGTGCTACAGTGAAGTCCTGCATACTATAACTGGCACACTTGGCACAGCATCATCTAATATAGTTGTTATCTTTACGAGTCAACAATGACGCTTGTGACAGGCCACATAAACTTTAATGTCATTAATATTACACGTCACAAGATGATGATAATTATTCAATAAAACATGTATTCAATAAATCTCTATAATCTACTCTGATGATATAGAAGATTACAACAGCTTTTCTCAATGGACTCCTTCCATTATAATAACTAAACAGACATTGAACTGTCTCCCGCAAACAACGGTAAATCAAAACCTCACAAAGAGGAACGTCGACTTGACAAGGGAAATATCTCGACTGCCTGAGCCTTTGTGTTCATCGCCCCGAATTCAATTAGCTCGTATCCTAGGTAACGACCCGTGGCCGCTGTGTGAACTTTTCACCTGTGCTGTTACTACTAGAAGAAACTTGGCCAATAAGATTACAACAGTCAGGCGTCATCTATTACTGTTGAGGGGGAGTGGTGACTTGTAAGTATGCACTATTAAGTTACCCTAGATACTTGGCAAGTGTGCGGTGTAACCTGTTCATCGCACGCGTCATTGGAGACAGAAGCCGTGCCCGCATAATTCCTCCCAGGAAGCTACTGCCTATGCCACAAAAGATCAGCCCGTGTTGGCATCACTCAGACGGAAACCGTTACCCGGAGCAAACGCCAGTGGAAACCTTGATTTGCAGTTATTTTGCCCGAAAGATTCAACCAGCTGGTAGTGATTTTAAATGATTAATAATTACTGCTAATAACTTTATAGGTAGGATAAGCTTACCTGTCTGTGTCTGGTAGCGTTCAGTCCTTTATGTAAAGTTTGTTTGCGTAGTGTTTAACTGGTGTGCTTATCGATCAATTGTTTCAGTGTTAGATTCGCCGTCAAAGTAAAGTATCTATGTTGTCCAGTGGCGTTTAGTCTGCGTGAATATTGTAAAGGTTTTCGTGCCTGATTAGTGTATCATTTCATTGCATCTCGTCATACCACCTAAAGATACTGACATGTCAGTCAATGAATTCGTTCAGATGGCTAGTGACCTAGGTCTGGGGGCGGAACTGGTAGTCACTTTCGCGGAGGCTAGGATGAGAGAGCTGTCTGAAACGGACGCTGCCATGAGGGAAGAGAGGGCCGCTGAGAGGACCCATGGGAAAGGAAATGGCAGAGGTCGAAGCCATGGCCATTGCATCTAATGAAGAGTTAGAGTTAGCTCGGATCGAAAAAGACAGGACTGTAGCACTGGTAGAGGCCAGCAAGACAGTAAATACAAAGGAAGGTAACAAAGATGATGATGATTATGGTTTGAAAAGTTATAAACCAAAGTTACCTCATCTTAGTACCCAGGATGATATTCATTCTTACCCGGACCGCTTTGGAGATTCTATGCGAAGTGGGCGCTTCCTAGAAGCACAGTGGGTGTCTCGATGAGAACTACTGACTGGGAAAGTGTTAATAACATTTAGTAATTTCTCAGAGGAAGAGAGGAAGTCTTATGTTGTTGTACGTCAGAAATTGTTGCCATCTAGGTTGTTACCAGAGTCAGTTCCATACACTGGCGCTAACACCAGATGTTAGCTTTTCTGAGTATGTTGCAAAGGTAAAGACTATATTTTTCAGGAGGGTGAACTCAGCAGAAGTCGGCACATCGTTTGATTAATTGGTTGATCTTATCTTAAAAGACAAGATCCTATCATCCTGCAGCAGCGATTTGTGTACATTCATTCAAGAAAGGAAACCTAAGAGTTTAGAAGAGATGATTAAAATGTGTCAACAGTATATCACAGCTTATCCATGGAAGGCGATACATACGGAGAAAGTGGACAGCTTTTTCCCAGCGGCTGCAAGCCTTCAAGTCAAACGTCCTCAGGTCACACAGATGCAGGGAAGCTTCGGGAATAAGGATTCGACCACAATCCAGAAACCCAAGCAGGTGAAACAGCAGTGGAGGAGCTTCACTGTTAATGAGCAACCCGGTTGCAGTTTTTGTGGGTCTTGGAAACACAGATCTGAGGACTGCCAGTATAAGGATAGGAAAGAGGATGACAACCCGCCAAGAAAGTGTTTTCAGACCTGGACCTCTTAAGTGTTTCTGGTGTTCAGGACCACACAAAATTAGGGTCTGCCCTAAAGTGGTAAAGGGTGTAGCAAATGGATCCCAGGTAGAGGATTGTGGTAAATCTACCCCAGCATATGATTACATAGTGAAAGTAAGACCTCAGGTCAAACATCCGACCTTATCAGCCAACTTTCAGATTATGGGTTGCCCATTTATAAAGGGTATGTGAGTCGGAAAAGTTGCAACGTCTTAAGGGTCTCAGGAGTAAATGTTATCGAACAAACAAACTTTATGTTTTAAGGGTTAGGAATAAGGCACGCACGCACGTCTAACAATCTGCTCCTTGAGGTCTCTCCACTCTTATATCATTTCATTCACACATCAAGTAATAAACATCAATAGACAGACAGAAAGTCAAACAAACAATAGCTGGGCGTGTAGATCAATAGACAGACTGAAAGTCAAACAAACAATGGCGGGCGTATAGATCAATAGACATACTTAAAGACGAACAAACAATAGCTGGGCTTATAGATCAATAGACAAAAAGTCAAACAATAGAGGGCGTATAGATCAATAGACAGACAGAAAGTCGAACAAACAATAGCTGGGCGTATAGATCAATAGACAGACTGAAAGTTAAACAATAGCGGGCGTATAGATCAATAGACAAACTGAAAGTAAAAAAAACAAAACAATAGCGGGCGTATAGATCAATAGACAAACTGAAAGGAAAAAAAAAAAACCAATAGCGGGCGTATAGATGATTGGACAGACTGAAAGTCAAACAAACAATAGCTGGGTGTATAGATCAATAGACGGACTGAAAGCCGAACAAACAGTAGCTGGGCGTATAGATCAATAGACAGACTGAAAGTCAAACAAAAGCGGGCGTATAGATCAATAGACAGACTTCTTCTTCTTTGCGTTCGGTTTCGTATGCTCAGATCAGATCATCAGGTGGGGACTGTACAATCTTTATTTTATGCATGTGGTAGTTGAGCTGCAGTGTCCTGTTCGTAGACGGAAAATTGTTGTATGTTGCTTTCTGTTAAGTCTGCTGATGGGGTCTTGTGGATGTTTACTGTTAGTTTGTTCTCTCCACAATCCTTGGTATTTTCCTATGATAAGTGTTTTGATTTCTGGTAATGACAATGAATGGGCGTGTTGTTTCTTCTTTGTTCCATTTTTTGCAAGTTTGTCTGCCAGCTCATTTCCTGGTATGCCGCAGTGAGCCGGGATCCACTGGAGAACGATTTGATTGTTTTCTGTGTCTGATTAGCTGACGGGTCAGTTCTCTTTCTATGTTGTCTCCTGGATCCCTATGAGTCGCCTGGAGGACTGACATGCAGTCACAAAGGAAAACTATTTTGCTGTTTTTAATTTTTCTTTCCTTGAGCACTCTGGCTGAATCAATAATTGCTTGCTGCTCTGCTCTGAAGTTTGTTGAGAGTCTTCCGGAGGCGCATGACGTTTCTACTGTGGTCCCATCTTGCAGCATGATGACCGATCCAGCTCTTCCATTTTTGTCTGCTCCCTCCAATGATCCATCGGTGTATACGTGTGTCCATTCGGGTTTTGGATAACTGTTGCAGACATGTTCAAGGGTCTTTGCACGCAGTACTAGGTCAAATTCTTCAGCCCTTCTGTCTATGCCTGGAAATCAGACTGAAAGACGAACAAACAATAGCTAGGCGTACAGATCAATAGACAGACTGAAAGTCAAACAAACAAAAGCTGGGCGTATAGATCAATAGACAGACTGAAAGACGAACAAACAAGCAAAATTATATTGAACAACACTGTAAAAACAAAAGCAAACAAGCTGAACTATGAATTCATAGTATTTTTTTCAAACATTATATAAAGGCGGAATGCTCATGTAGATATATACAAGCAGTTCGCTGCCTCCATTTTAGCCAGTAAAGTAAGCTGTCACGTCACCATTGGTCAAATCGTTAGCAAGGATGGGCACTCCAGCCTCGCAAGGTGCAGATGTGATCACTGCTACCAGGACGACTTCATTGGTGTCAAAGGTTTGGCAATAGACAGGAGATCCAAAGTCACCCTATGGAAGAAAGCAAACAGAATAAATATATACACATACATATATACCTATATTCATATTGTGACGACTGAAAGCTACATGCTTTTTTTGTCTGTTTGTAGCTTTGGCGACCTCTGGTGTGCTGCCTACAGTAAAAATCTTTATTCAACGAAGTGCAGCGTATCGAGCGTCCCTTGAATATTTTCTTCCAGAGCATTCTAGCTTGCATGGAAACGAACAAATAAATTCGCTGATTCTGCTGCAGTAGTGACGCACTGATGTATGGCCGATAAGGTAAAGACTCTTTGTGAGCACGTTTACCGTTAGGACGATCTCACCGATCACCATGGTCTAGAGCTACAAATGGTATGTATCAAATGATCTGAGATCAGAGGTCAAGCGATACGAACATATAAAAACATTGCAACCGGCGTAATAAGTATCGGAACCCTTTCGTTGGCCGCTACTGGTATGGCCAGTGTGTTTATGGAAATACCCCATTCTGTAGGTTAACTGTAAACCTCTCTGGCTTTTAAACCGTAAACTTCCTTCCATTTTAGTTTTGTTGGTGTTGTTGTCGTAATTGTCACGTAACACCCATACATGGCGTAAGATTGTAACTGGGATATAACGTGTTCATTGACTTTGATGAGTTGAGTTTCAATGTTTTTTTTTAAATTTCCTATTATCATATTTTTCATACATTATTATTTGAGATATGTTCATGTTCACACTTTTTGGGGTTTAGATTACGACAGATACTGTACAAGAGAATGATAGACAAACAAACGAGGCACATACAAGTCGTAAACTGATTAGACAAATTAAAAATTAAAGCAATGTTTCCCCGCTGTAAATTTGAACGAAGAAGACACAAACAATAGATTGGAGAGTATTTTTTTGTGTATTCAGAAAGAGATGGTTCTTTCTTTACGGCTGCCCTGGTAAAAACGGGTAGTCATGTTTGAACGTTGTTGAAATTGTACGTCAGTTATAAAAGATTCACTTATTTGCTTCATTTATGTAATTGGTACTGTAGTATGCACCTGACGAGATATGCCAGGCAATAGATTGTGCAATCTTTTGTGTGTGTCTTCTTTGTTTAAAATTAAAAGTAGACAGTCGCCATTCTGTGAGAAGCAATGGACTTGAGAATGTAACAAATGGCAAGATTGATTGAATGACAGCAAGGGGAAGGTAAAGAGTTAAATACCAGGATCGGACGAGACAAGAACGATGACTTGATCCTAGATGGCATACAGCTCATAATTATCAGCACGACATACAATGATGTGCAATGAGTAATTAGATAACATTAATAAAATTGTCTTAAAATAGCTGATTTGTTATACCCTTGTTATAGCCATTTATCATCTATAATTTTAGCATTTCAATTAAATGTTTGCAAAGATTAGCACGGCATTTCTTTACTCTTATGTTACGCTGGTACTGACAGTTCACAAATGGAAACTAGCACATATAGAATGCAAGACTCTCACTTCCTTGACTTAAGTGTGAGACAGATACTAATTCAAAAACACGATGTCAACAGAAGATGACTCACCGCACAGGTGGAGTCGGTAGACCCCATGCATATTGTCGTGGAGTCCTGGTTCACCACAGTATCTGGGTAAGTCCCATTGGGCTGACTCTTAACGGCGTCCATGAGTACGTCGCAGCAAGGGTAGGTAATCATGTCAGAGATCTTCATCTTGTCGACTTGACCGCTGTATGTTCCTGTGGGTGGGAAAGGTGAAACTAAAGTGGTTGTGTGAGCGCATGGAAAGACAGTAATAGTAAGGCAATCAGACATTCAGTTCAGCTGCTTCTGTATGGGATGGAAATGTCAGCTTTCACAGGGGCACTTTAAACAAGTAACAAACAACAAGTACAATAAAGTAATGAATTCTTCTCGCTTTGTTGACGCATCAGGCATATGGTGCTACACCTGTATTTTATAGAGCAATTGACAGTCAGCTAGTAATGCAATGATATCAAAAGTAACAATCAGAGAAGTTGCACACAATACAGTGCAGCTTAAGGCAATAACAAACAGAAGAATAACAATCTGATAACAAGCGGAATAGAAAGACAATGGCAATAGCAACTAGGACAGTAACATTTGGGACACTATAGAATTATGGCATTAACTACGGCCATCTTTATATCTAAAGATGGCCGTGGCATTAACAAACTAGGACACCATTAATAATGATAGCAGCGACTAAGAACAGTAATGAAAACAGCGATAACTGGGACAGTAATATGTGAAACACTATCAAAATATGGCATAAACAAACCAAGCACCATCCACAATGGTAGCAGAGACTAAGAACAGTAATGAAAACAGCGATAACTGGGACAGTAATATGTGAAACACTATCAAAATATGGCATAAACAAACCAAGCACCATCCACAATGGTAGCAGCGACTAAGAACAGTAATGAAAACAGCGATAACTGGGACAGTAATATGTGAAACACTATCAAAATATGGCATAAACAAACCAAGCACCATCCACAATGGTAGCAGAGACTAAGAACAGTAATGAAAACAGCGATAACTGGGACAGTAATATGTGAAACACTATCAAAATATGGCATAAACAAACCAAGCACCATCCACAATGGTAGCAGCGACTAAGAACAGTAATAAAAACAGCGATAACTGGGACAGTAATATGTGAAACACTATCAAAATATGGCATAAACAAACCAAGCACCATCCACAATGGTAGCAGCAACTAAGAACAGTAATGAAAACAGCGATAACTGGGACAGTAATATGTGAAACACTATCAAAATATGGCATAAACAAACCAAGCACCATCCACAATGGTAGCAGCGACTAAGAACAGTAATAAAAACAGCGATAACTGGGACAGTAATATGTGAAACACTATCAAAATATGGCATAAACAAACCAAGCACCATCCACAATGGTAGCAGCAACTAAGAACAGTAATGAAAACAGCGATAACTGGGACAGTAATATGTGAAACACACTATCAAAATATGGCATAAACAAACCAAGCACCATCCACAATGGTAGCAGCAACTAAGAACAGTAATGAAAACAGCGATAACTGGGACAGTAATATGTGAAACACTATCAAAATATGGCATAAACAAACCAAGCACCATCCACAATGGTAGCAGCAACTAAGAACAGTAATGAAAACAGCGATAACTGGGACAGTAATATGTGAAACACTATCAAAATATGGCATAAACAAACCAAGCACCATCCACAATGGTAGCAGCGACTAAGAACAGTAATGAAAACAGCGATAACTGGGACAGTAATATGTGAAACACTATCAAAATATGGCATAAACAAACCAAGCACCATCCACAATGGTAGCAGCAACTAAGAACAGTAATGAAAACAGCGATAACTGGGACAGTAATATGTGAAACACTATCAAAATATGGCATAAACAAACCAAGCACTATCCACAATGGTAGCAGCAACTAAGAACAGTAATGAAAACAGCGATAACTGGGACAGTAATATGTGAAACACTATCAAAATATGGCATAAACAAACCAAGCACCATCCACAATGGTAGCAGCAACTAAGAACAGTAATGAAAACAGCGATAACTGGGACAGTAATATGTGAAACACTATCAAAATATGGCATAAACAAACCAAGCACCATCCACAATGGTAGCAGCGACTAAGAACAGTAATGAAAACAGCGATAACTGGGACAGTAATATGTGAAACACTATCAAAATATGGCATAAACAAACCAAGCACCATCCACAATGGTAGCAGCAACTAAGAACAGTAATGAAAACAGCGATAACTGGGACAGTAATATGTGAAACACTATCAAAATATGGCATAAACAAACCAAGCACCATCCACAATGGTAGCAGCAACTAAGAACAGTAATGAAAACAGCGATAACTGGGACAGTAATATGTGAAACACTATCAAAATATGGCATAAACAAACCAAGCACCATCCACAATGGTAGCAGCGACTAAGAACAGTAATGAAAACAGCGATAACTGGGACAGTAATATGTGAAACACTATCAAAATATGGAATAAACAAACCAAGCACCATCCACAATGGTAGCAGCAACTAAGAACAGTAATGAAAACAGCGATAACTGGGACAGTAATATGTGAAACACTATCAAAATATGGCATAAACAAACCAAGCACCATCCACAATGGTAGCAGCAACTAAGAACAGTAATGAAAACAGCGATAACTGGGACAGTAATATGTGAAACACTATCAAAATATGGCATAAACAAACCAAGCACCATCCACAATGGTAGCAGCGACTAAGAACAGTAATGAAAAACAGCGATAACTGGGACAGTAATATGTGAAACACTATCAAAATATGGCATAAACAAACCAAGCACCATCCACAATGGTAGCAGCAACTAAGAACAGTAATGAAAACAGCGATAACTGGGACAGTAATATGTGAAACACTATCAAAATATGGCATAAACAAACCAAGCACCATCCACAATGGTAGCAGCAACTAAGAACAGTAATGAAAACAGCGATAACTGGGACAGTAATATGTGAAACACTATCAAAATATGGCATAAACAAACCAAGCACCCATCCACAATGGTAGCAGCGACTAAGAACAGTAATGAAAACAGCGATAACTGGGACAGTAATATGTGAAACACTATCAAAATATGGCATAAACAAAAACCAAGCACCATCCACAATGGTAGCAGCGACTAAGAACAGTAATGAAAACAGCGATAACTGGGACAGTAATATGTGAAACACTATCAAAATATGGCATAAACAAACCAAGCACCATCCACAATGGTAGCAGAGACTAAGAACAGTAATGAAAACAGCGATAACTGGGACAGTAATATGTGAAACACTATCAAAATATGGCATAAACAAACCAAGCACCATCCACAATGGTAGCAGAGACTAAGAACAGTAATGAAAACAGCGATAACTGGGACAGTAATATGTGAAACACTATCAAAAATATGGCATAAACAAACCAAGCACCATCCACAATGGTAGCAGCGACTAAGAACAGTAATGAAAACAGCGATAACTGGGACAGTAATATGTGAAACACTATCAAAATATGGCATAAACAAACCAAGCACCATCCACAATGGTAGCAGCAACTAAGAACAGTAATGAAAACAGCGATAACTGGGACAGTAATATGTGAAACACTATCAAAATATGGCATAAACAAACCAAGCACCATCCACAATGGTAGCAGAGACTAAAAACAGTAATGAAAACAGCGATAACTGGGACAGTAATATGTGAAACACTATCAAAATATGGCATAAACAAACCAAGCACCATCCACAATGGTAGCAGAGACTAAGAACAGTAATGAAAACAGCGATAACTGGGACAGTAATATGTGAAACACTATCAAAATATGGCATAAACAAACCAAGCACCATCCACAATGGTAGCAGAGACTAAGAACAGTAATGAAAACAGCGATAACTGGGACAGTAATATGTGAAACACTATCAAAATATGGCATAAACAAACCAAGCACCATCCACAATGGTAGCAGAGACTAAGAACAGTAATGAAAACAGCGATAACTGGGACAGTAATATGTGAAACACTATCAAAAATATGGCATAAACAAACCAAGCACCATCCACAATGGTAGCAGAGACTAAGAACAGTAATGAAAACAGCGATAACTGGGACAGTAATATGTGAAACACTATCAAAATATGGCATAAACAAACCAAGCACCATCCACAATGGTAGCAGAGACTAAGAACAGTAACGAAAGCAGCGATAACTGGGACAGTAATATGTGAAACACTATCAAAATATGGCATAAACAAACCAAGCACCATCCACAATGGTAGCAGCGACTAAGAAAAGTTATGAGCACAGCGATAACTAGAACAACTTGAGCACAGTGTAATAATTTAACTAGGCCTGAAGTGGAAAAGATACCTGGTGAAATCAACCAACATGCCGGGAAATGCTGGGTATATAATGAATTTGGGAGTCACCGTGGCCGAGCGGCTAGACGCTCGTCGCGAATCGGAAGGTCGTGGGTTCGCTCCCTGACGGAGCCGAACTTTTTTTCAAAAATGACCTTGGCACCCAGGTCGACCCAGCCTTTAGTGGATACCGGGTGCAGTCCCAGGAAAGTAAAGGCAGCCGGCGTGATGCTGACCACATCACACATCTTCTGCCGTTTGGTCTATAAAAATATAGGTCTAACCCTTTATGCCCTATACGCCTGATGGCGTGGAAAAGGGTCCTTTACTTTTTTAAAATAATGAATTTACAGACAATGCAAAGTCAGAATTTTAGGTTTAAATGTCTGTGCCTCTGATAAACTACGCAAGGTTGACTTTATTAAAAAAAAGATAATTAGCATGACAGGCTTGGCATTAATTTTCATATAAAACAACGCTAAACGAACTTCATATAAGCTAAATAAGGGGACCTTAAAACTGACGACTTCATTTAAAGTGTCTGAAGTGAACTAACTAAATATAATACAAATACAGCAATACCATGAACTAAAAATGAAAACAAAAATGATAATATTAAAATAAATATTTAAAATGGCGCATGTCAATGTGTACGAACATTATCAAGGGAGCTCACTAAGACTATCTAACGGACATAGCAGACGGCGCGAAGCTTCAACATGAATGGTCGAGTTTCTGACTTAATTTGTGAATTTTCCTGCATTGTTTTGCATGGGTAATGATACCAAGCGCATTGTTTTTCACAGGTTAATAGTCTAAGTAGTTTTTGTCGTATCGAAAGATATAGTACTTTGTATTCAAAGGAAACTTGCAGACTCACTGTTAGGATGTCACTGTATTGTAGTTTTACTTTTATAATACTTATATCGCTGTTACGCATTGGTTCTGCAACATTCTATGAATCTTACTAAGCCTCCAGAGTTTTCGATAAACAACAATTGGAGCTTGATTCTTAGTTCCTTATCCATCTGGCAATGGTGGAGCGGAGGGAGGTGGAAAAGGGGGGGGGGGGGGGGGGTTCTTTCAGAGACTAATCTCTGTTTGAGTGATTAATATATTATTACTGGATAATGATATGATGTTCTCAGTGATAATATATATACGTATATATATATACACACACACACACACACACACACACACACACATATATATATATATATATATATATATATATATATATATATATATATATATATATATATATATATATAAACAGGACAACTTCCAGGCATGATTGGGGATGGGAGAAGATTAGCCCCTAAGACAATTTGTGGGAAACTGTGCCCACCTAAGTTGGAAAAGGAAAAGGCTGGGGCTGACGGACGCCTAATGTGCATGAGCCACTAGGTTTTGGCACCCATAATACCATCAGAATAGGAAATCTGCACTGGCTGCTGAAGGTGGGGACGGAGCGCTTTTAGGAATATCCTGGATGTGTGATGTTTGTTCTTAACCCAGCTGAACTTTTATTGTAAACATGTTGTTCAGGAAAAACCTGAGCTGATTGATTGATTGACTTTCTACCCCACCAGGACATCACACAAGCGATAAACACCCGATGACACAAAGTGCCACCATGCCAATGAGGATCACCGTGGAGAGGTTCCAGAAACCGCGTTCAGACAATTGGCCATATTGATGGCCTGCCTATATTGCGGTCCCTGGCAAAAGCCAGAGTGGGGTTTCAAATAAGAAAAAATTACGTCCTAAGAAGGACGTAATGAATATCGATATAAATGTACATGAGCTGAACCAATGCCATCTTGACAATAGGACTTACGGTGGAGAAAACAATTGAAAACGATAACACACTACATCTTGCATACATAGACTGCGAAAAAACATTTAATCGAATAACTGTCAATTATTATAGAAAACATTAAAAAGAGGTGAGAATGAGAATGCATCGCTTTTATCATGTTATTGCAAGGGGGACCACTGGTACATAATTGAAAACATTCTAAAAGAAATAGGTTATCTTTCTTGTAATAAGTTTTTCTTTTTTTCCCATTCCCACCTTCGCATTAATGAATCTAATGAACATAATACAAACAGTTGTTAGTTTCTGATTCATGACATTTCAGTACAGTTTCAAGGAAACAAATCTAGAATCCCGATTGTTGCAGAATTTGGTGAGATGTGGCTTGAATTTAACATCTGAGAACTGATGTATGTATGTAAAACTCGCTCTACCACGAAACAGACATTTTTAGTTACTGTAAAGCCTAGTCCTAGGTGTCGTCAGGGGTCCTAATGTAACCTAACAGTTGAACTGGATTTCTGGGACTTGTGAATGGGTGATTTCTTATCTGAATGTTGGCACATTGTTTCATTTGCTGTTAATCACTTGTTGTGTGATCCTGTTTAGTTGAGCGTCACTCACTTACTCACTCACTTATTTTCTCACTCACTCACTCATTCATTTTCTCACTCACTCATTTTCTCACCCATTCTCTCACTCATTTTCTCACTCACTCACTCACTCATGTATGTATGACCTGTATTGTAGAGACCATGCGTTGCTCATGATCCCTCCTGTGACCTGCCTCATTTATTTAGAAGCAACTGTGGGGTGACCCGTTTGCTATGAAGCTGAAACTAAGATTACCAGATTCAGAAGGAAAGGTAACATAAATACATCTGGAACTAATCTTACTGCAGAAGCTGCCGGATCCAAAGAGCAGTGTACAGCAGAGCTTGCCTTCTAGACTAGCTGCTGACTAAGGCTAAAGGTCTAGTCTGCTTTGCCATAATGAAGTTTTCAGGTTGCATTTCTTCTTCCTAGGATAAAGCTTGTTTTGCCATAATGAAGTTTTCAGGTTGCATTTCTTCTTCCTAGGATAAAGCTTGTTTTAAACACTCCTCCCGCCCTTGCTGCTCCAACAACATTTGATGTTGACAGAGAACAGGTAGTACTAAATACTGTAGGTAGCTTAGTTATTTCTGATCAAGTTAACGGAGAATGGGTAAGCCGAACTACACTTGTACAGTAGCTCAGTCATATCTGACCAAGTTAACAGAGAACAGGTAGTACTAAATACTTTTGGAAGCTTAGTTATTTCTGACCAAGTTAACAGAGAACGGGTAAACTGAATTACACTAATGCTGTAGCTTAGTCATATCTGACCAAGTTAACAGAGAATGGGTAAGCTGAACTACACTTGTACAGTAGCTTAGTCATTTCTGACCAAGTTAACAGAGAACAGGTAGTACTAAGTACTGTTGGTAACTTAGTTATTTCTGACCAAGTTAACAGAGAATGGGAAAGCCGAACTACACTTGTACAGTAGCTTAGTCATATCTGACCAAGTTAACAGAGAACAGGTAGTACTAAATACTTTTGGTAGCTCAGTTATTTCTGACCAAGTTTTCAGAGAATGGGTAAGCTGAACTACACTTATACAGTAGCTTAGTCTTATCTGACCAAGTTAACAGAGAACAGGTAGTACTAAGTACTGTAGGTAGCTTAGTTATTTCTGACCAAGTTAGCAGAGAATGGGTAAGCCGAACTACACTTGTACAGTAGCTTAGTCATATCTGACCAAGTTAACAGAGAACAGCTAGTACCGACTACTGATATACAGTTGCTCAGTCATATCTGACCAAAAACTGAAGCTAGTTGAGTATATATTTAGCATTAATTATACAGCGCTAGAATACTTACGATCTTCACTATCTTGATTTCCATAGCTGAGAGAAAAGCAGTCGCCAAAGTTGACCCTGCCTCTCATGGTGGCACTGTCATACAAGCAGGCATATTCTGGACAGCTGGTCAGCTGAACTGATTCTGGTAGTTGAATACTGGCCATGCCATCACCTCTGCTTACACCTGAATTCATATTTGTAATCATCAACTTAATGTAAGTGTTAAGATGTGCTTTTCTTTGTTGGTTATTATCACCGATGATATCTCTCTATATTTTTTAAGATCATTATTAACATTTTGTTTTTTATGTTCGTTATTGGAGATGCAGAGGTGCTGAACCACATCAGGGCTCACACTAAGATTGATCTACAGCTCTGCATGTCATACCAGGAGCAGATTCCCAGTCGGGCGCTTGGCCACCATCTATAAAATCAACGTTTCCTTCGAAATCCGAGTGCAGTTGCCTGAGAGGCAAGTAACCAACAGTCTGCATACAGATAAATCGGATCAGTAAAACAGATGTACACACAACCCTCAAGTTCTGAAACAAGACCAAAGTCAAGACAGACAGCAAGGACGTTTTGCCGCAAGTTACCATGGGTGAATGCAGCGATGAAGTTAAATATTGACAGGAACTGACAAAATACATCCATGAATGTTGTCAGCAGTACCATTCCACCCCCCCCCCCCCTCCCATTTTGTTAGCATTATTATCAACTTCAACTGAACATTCTTGAACATTAGATTACCAGCAGAATTGTATCTTACCCATAGAACATTATAATATCCCCAATATTACTCAATATAAATAACATTATCTCTACATTCTTGAAATGTCTCATCAACATTATTTCTATAATATTTTAACTGTATAATCAAAATTATGTCCGCATTAATTTAACTGTATCATCAACATGATGTCTACATTAATTTGTCTATACTTTCAACATTGTGTTTACATTATTTTAACTATATCATCAACATCATAGCCGCATGATTAGACTTATTTTATCTATATTTCAAAAAGTGTATCATCAATATTATATCCACATTACTTTTATTGCATTGTTGCTAATATAGGAATACTAATTTAATTGTATCTTCAGCTTTGTCCATACTCTTCAGCATTATCATCAAAATTCCTTTGACCTTGCAGAAGATTATCATCAACATTATACATTTGTAGAATGTTGTCATTGCATATTCATTGAGAGGCTGGATGAGAGACACTCATCTTTAACTTGAGAGGCTGGATGAGAGACACTCATCTTTAACTTGAGAGAATCAGGAAACATTCACAGTGTGAATGGTACAGATTTTTCCACAGACAATAATCTCAAGGCTTGTATAGTTTCTCTCAGTCATAGGGTAGTGGATAGAACTTCCCACCTTCTTGGGTAAGGGCAAACAAACTGGGAGCACCAATATGCACGCTGATCATTCCTTGTCAGTTGGGAATTACAAAGTGTGGACCAACATAAGTTCCGCCAAGGCTAAGTTTTAGAAATGTGAATCTAATGTACACATAATGACATATTGTGTGTTCTGGTTTATACACAATTAAACTCTTACTGGTGTAGTGTGATCAGTGAAAGGTCGGAACGCTTATGAAAGTATCTCTATGGAGGAAAAATTATCCTCTTTGAAAAGAAACAAAATGCATAATGTACACCGACATAGACAATAGAACACAGACACCACATGAACATTGCTTTTATAGACCAAGAAAAGGCTTTTGACAGAGTGAACAGAGATTTACTTTGGGATGTCCTTGAAAACTATGGTATCAATGGAACAGTACTAGATTGTTGTGTAAGAGCTATTTATAGAGAAAATGAAAGTGCCGTCAGAACAAGAGCTGGCCTCACAGACTGGTTCCCAGTAACATCAGGTGTATGGCAAGGGCGTATTCATTCACCTTTACTTTTTAATAATATTCATGGACAGTATTAATAAAATAGACATAACACCACCAGATATCAATAAACAGGAGGACTTCAATGAGCTGCTCTTTGCCGACGATCAGTGCATATTCCACAGTGAAAGTAAACAGCTGCAGGAACACATAAACCAACTACACGACAGTTGCCTTAAACATCACATGAAAATCAATATTGAAAAAAAAAAATAACAGTAGAGAGCAACAAACTATTGACATAAAGATCAAAGTCTGAAACAAGCGCAAGAATTTAAATACTTTGGAAGCATCTTTTCACACAGTGGTAAAATAGAGAGATAGAAACGAGAATGCAACAAGCCAATGATATCATATACCAGCTTACTCCAATTTTAAAACACCCTGCTATCCCAACAGTGACAAAAAGACAAATTATAAATACAATATTTATACCGACTTTAGGTTATTAAAGTCAGACTTGGACATTGACAAAAGAACATGAAAGAAACTATCCACCTGTGAGAATAAGATGTTTGAGAATGGCTGTGAATAAAACCAGAAAAGATTGAGTGAGAAACGACGTGATCACAAGAACTGTTGTTCAAATTTATTGAGAAACAAGGAATGAAATGGTTTGGCCATCTAATAAGAATGAAACCAACGATGCCAGCAGCAAGAGCTTACAGCCTGGAAATCAAAACATCAAGAGGTAGGGGAAGAACGAGAAGAAGATGGATTGAAGGAGTCACTGACACCTTGAGACTGCATAACATTATGGCATGTCAAGCAACTGAGCGCGCCTTGGCTCCGCTGCCGATCCGTGTGATGAACTGCATAAGCAGATATTGACAAAAGAAAGACACCGTCAAAGGGTCAGGACAAAAGCAGAGAATGGACTGGTGGGATCAAGGAACTAACAGCTGTTGGTATTGCCACGTTAGTTAGCATTGATGAATATGTCATTAGTAAAAGACTAACATATGCTACGACCATTACGTACCAGGCGATTATATTTCTTTGCAACATATGCTATTTCTGGTCATACAGTTATATCACAGGAGAATGACAATAAGGTAATAGGTTGTAGTGATGACGATGATGATAATGGTGAAGAGGATGCTGATGATGGTAATGATTGCAATGGTGATATTAATCAGCACTTACTGTTGAAGTTCTCTTTGGTTATGACAATATCCCGTTGACCTCCCACGTTGACCAAGTGGGTCAGATCTCTGTACATTGACAAGACATATATCAATTGTGTGTTTATTTATGTCAACATGATGTCTACAATAGTAGACAGTCTTCCAGTCTTCTTCTTCTGCATCTTCTATATTTGCCCTTCAAGGATGGTTGGCACATTGGGGTGGTGGGATGCGAATGGGAATGCAACGCCTTTAGCAAATTATTGCAGGGGAGACCACTGTTACATATTAACTGTAAACATGAGATAAATGGGTTATATTTCTTGTAAACAGTTTTTCTTCTTTCTCAATTCCACCTTCACATTAATGACTCTAATTAACTTGATACAAACAGTTATTTGTTTCTTGTTCATGACATTTCAGTACAGTTTGTAGGGAAAAAATGTATAATCCCGATTTTTTAAGAATTTGATGAGGTTTGGCATTTATACATATGCGGTTTCCAGGTATTCCCATAGGCACGTTCATGTCCCACTGTTGATGTGTTTCAGGTTCTTCCCCCCCCCCCCCCCAGTTGTTATCACTATAATGGCAGTTGGCACACTGTGATGTGGTTTAAATCACGGCTGCAATATCTGCGCCTTTTGGCCGAAGACATCACGTTTCTGCAAATCCCTGATTAGTGGTCTTTTATGTCATACGGGTTACAGGGGCAATGGGTATACCCCACACACACTCACACATGCACACTCTCACACATACACTCTCACACACACATCCGCACTCTCTCTCTCTCTCTCTCTCTCTCACACACACACACACACTCACACCAAAATGGAGCCCAGGAACTGGCACAGGGATTGGCATGTTTGACTATCCCTTAACTTTATCAGGCCAGGGAATACGAAACCAGTCACAGCGAGAAACTTCCTTGTTTCCGGGTTTATCCTACAGGGTTCAGTCTTTCTTCTTAGTGTGTGGTCACTTGCTGGGATTGTCACACACAGCACAAACCACTGCCGCTCTAGCGACAGCTGCAACAATCTTGGAACATTTGCAGTCGTAAACCAGTCAGAGCCCCAAACCAAACTCACGACCTTCAGAGCCAGAGCCCAACAACCCAACCATTTCACCATGGGACTGCCAAGATGGAAGAAAATGATTGAGGAAGAGAAAAATTCTTCAGCAGTCCTGCCGCAGTTACTTTAACCTGAAACACCTCAACCATTTCACCATGGGACTGCCAAGATTGAAGAAAATGATTGAGGAAGAGAAGAATTCTTCAACAGTCCTGCCGCAGTTACTTTAACCTGAAACAACCCAACCATCTCACCATGGGACTGCCAAGATTGAAGAAAATGATTGAGGAAGAGAAGAATTCTTCAGCAGTTCTGCCGCAGTGACTTTAACCTGAAACAACCCAACCATTCCACTATGGGACTGCCAAGATTGAAGAAAATGATTGAGGAAGAGAAGAAATCTTCAGCAGTCGTGCCGCAGTGACTTTAACCTGAAATAAAATGCTGACACTTACGGAACTTGCAGAACTTGCTTGAAGTAATCAGAACAATCCTGTGGTACCAGCAGCGTGTTCGAGGAAATCATCACTCCACTGCAGAAAATGGTATCTGGGAAATATGGCAGAGTTCATGTTTCTACTGTAAACCTGCCAGATCTTTCAAGGGAGCCTTAATGAAAACCTTAAAAATCTGACATAAATTACAATAACTAAGCCATTGTTTTGTACCCTGTTTATGTTGTAAAGGATGTCAAGAGTGTTGAGCACGTGACATCACGATGCAGACGAATACGTTAACATCATAATGACAGTTAAAGATGACCGCAAAACTCTTTTCATGCATCACAGAAGAGCAGCGTTTTGTTTTCCGTTTTTTTTGGACCTTATTTTAAATTCACCATTAAAATGGCCATTATAATAGAATGTATGTTGTAATTTACAGCTACGCTGTGATAACTGTGCCTTTCCGCCCAGCACATACGATTCCAGTGAGCTCCTTATTAGTAGCCGTTTACGATTGGCTGTTATGGTGGCTATGGACCTAATCTTTTTTCCCTTAAAAACTGTGCGCCAGAATCCTCACCCGGATTGCTGTCAGCAGACGGTATATATAAGGATTGTGTATATATTTATATATATAAATACACAATCCTTATTTTCATAAAGACACACATACATATATTTAAATGAATACGGTGACAGACGGGTAGACATACAAAATAGACAGGTATAAAGACCATTGATAATTGGCTCCGTGTACGTCCCAGTAGTTGGAAAACAGGTAAAGGAAACAAATATAGATTTTCAGCCGACTAGCTGACGGACAGAGTGTCAGACTGACTGATAACTTAACAGGCAGACATGAGTTTTGACAGCTAAGTGGAGAGGGTGACAGGTGGACAAGTAGATGTAGACTGACATTGTATTAGCAAAGCCTTCTACCCCTTGGATTTATGGCTCGGGGTATAGGGCCAGCTGGAAGATGTAGTTAATGGGAGACATGTGGAGAGATTGTCTGACAGGCAGAGGGAGAGAGGGGGTAAAGTGAGCGAGAAGAGGAGGAGAGAGAATGTGTGCGTTTAGTGTAGATATGACAGGGGATATAGGGGCATGTGAGAAGTAGAGGGAGAGAGGAGGAGGAGGAGGAGAAGAAGAGAGAAAGATCATGTTTTTTTTAGTATAATACTGCTTGAGATTTGGGTCAAGTGGAAAACAGGGGAACAGAGAGAAGGAGAGAGAGGAGAGAGTGTGTGTGTAAGAGAGAGGCAGGGTTGAGTAAGAGAGAGAGAGAGTGCTGACGAGAGACAGCAAGAGAGTGGCTATCACAGCTTCCTTTTTTCGCCAGACAGACAGGAAAACAAGACGAGTATCCAGGCAAATAGACAGTTAGCTGTGCAAACCGACAGACAGATATGAAGTCTGACTGCACGAGTGTATACTGACCGTTAAGACTGTCTCTGATGCCGACAACACCACCAGCAATGCTGCAGGCGTCAGCTCGGGAGTCATCCAAGAACCTCTTGGTGATGCCTTGTGGCTGGGTGATCGCTGGGCACACTGCGGACACAAGAGACAACTGATTACGACACACACTTTGATTGTCACGCTCCATGGAGCCAGAACACAAATTAGCTGCTCATTCTTTACTCAAGCGGGGGGCCGCTTGGTCTCGAGGCATGGCGTTCGCCTTGAGCGCTGTAGGTTCCGGTTTTCAAGCCCCGGTGAAGGCTGGGATTTCTTCCACGTAGACTTCTAGTAACTGCCCTGGTCTCTTGGTAGTAAGACCAGACGCCCGTGTGTATTGTTGCGCACTTAAAAAATCCATCTCTTGGCAGTTGAAAATCGAAAAGAGTAGCCTAACGGCGCTGCCCATGCAAAATTTGGAGTTAAAAATCTACCCAAACTATTTCAGGATACTCGCCGGTGCTAGGAAGTTTGTGCACTGCGCTTAGATTTTTCCTACTCAGGCTTGAGTTAAAAGTAAAACTGAGCACTTATAGGTTACTATCATTGGGCCGTGATGTTAATCCGTTGCATAAACCATAATCATAAAGATAGGTATTAACCAGTATGGAAGAGGATAGGTACAAACGGTGTTGTGTTTTCTGGCTGTCATTGTGTTCGTATATTGTCACCGTGGCAGTAGTTAGTGAAGTCGTTGACAAACACAGTCAGTTTATCATCGGCTATGGAAAATGTAAAGGACTAATGTATGTAGAGCACTCTGTCTGTCTTTGTACACTATTCCATCCACCCTAAAACCAAACACACCCACCTATCTATATAATCTATCTTATCTATCTATCTATCTATCTATCTATCTATCTATCTATCTATCTATCTATCTATCTATCTATCTATCTATCTATCTATCTATCTATCTATCTATCTATCTATCTATCTATCTATCTATCTATCTATCTATCTATCTATCTATCTATCTATCTATCTATCTGTCTGTCTGTCTGTCTGTCTGTCTGTCTGTCTGTCTGTCTGTCTGTCTGTCTGTCTGTCTGTCTGTCTGTCTGTCTGTCTGTCTGTCTGTCTGTCTGTCTGCCTGCCTGCCTGCCTGCCTGCCTGCCTGCCTGCCTGCCTGCCTGCCTGCCTGCCTGCCTGCCTGCCTGCCTGTCTGCCTGTCTGCCTGTCTGTCTGTCTGTCTGTCTGTCTGTCTGTCTGTCTGTCTGTCTTTATCCGTTTCTGACTGTCGACATGTCCGCATATCTAAGAGCTTCTACCGGTCAGTCCCAGGCCCGACCTTTTCGTCTAGCCGTCCGCATGTGTAGTTTCTCCGTGCACCAGTATACCTGACGTCTCCATGAGTTTTAGTGTCTGCATTTTTGCCTTTTGTCCGCAGAAAAGTAACATACGTTTTGCATTGCCAGGAAACTGCCATTAGTGCTTATATTTACAACTTGTTCAGTGTACGTAGGGGATCTATGAGCCTGGGAATGTAAGGCCGTGGGTGTCGTGCAAACGCCATGGAATGAATAGGTTAGGATTTTAACCTTTGTCCCCGATAGAAAAGAAAACCTTAGTAACTCCACACGGGGTTTGAACCTAAGTCTTCGGTATGAGAACCCAGCGTTCTCGGCCAGCCGCTTCACAGTTGTGCATTGATCATGTCAAATATCAGGTACGCTGGCTAATGATAGGATGAGCCACTAATCCCTCAAACTGATATACACGTTGTGTATACGCTTCTCAAGAGAAGGCATAAATAAGCCAGACGTGCCCCACTAAGTTCCTTACACGATACAATGATTGCACAAGATGAACCAGGATAAGGTAATCAACTGCCGGCACGGTGTGATGTATACACAACCACAGGACTATGTCAGACTTACCTGGGGCCACTGTGGTTGTTGGTTGCGTCGTGGTTGATGATTGCTCAGTTGTTGTGGTAGTTAATTGCTCAGTTGTACTGGTTGCTTGCTCAGATGCTGTAGTGGTTGGTTGCTGGGATGTGCTCTGATTTATGGTTGATGCTTCTTGTGATGTTAGGATCGAAGATGGTTGGTTTGTAGATAATTGCGATTTTGTAGTTTGTTCAAATGATGTTGTTTCATCTGTTGCAACGGCTGTTGACGTCAGTATTTCAGGCGAAATTGTAAGTTCCCGTGACGTGGAAGTAGCTGCAGGTGTTGATGTCAGCTCTATTGTTGTCTCTTCTGTTGTGGAAGGCGGTGTTGGTGGAGCAGCTGGTGGTTTTGTAGATTCACTCGTAGCTTCTTGTGTAGATGTTATTTCTTGTGTTGTAGATAGGCTTGTTGGTGTCGAAGTAGCTGCTTCAGTTGATGTCGGCTGTTGTGAAGATGATACTTCTGAAGTTGTTAATGCCGAAGACGTTTGTGCTTCAGACGTGGAAATACCTTGAGTCGTGGTCGATGCAGCAGGTGTGGGAGATATTTCTGTTGTTGTCTCTTGTGTAGATGAAGCTGGGGTTTGTGGTGATGTAGATTCCGTGGAGATACCTTGTGTAGAGGATATTGCTTGTGACGTGGAGGGAACTGACGACAACGTGGTTACTGTCTCCGATGATGTCGGCAGTTGCGAAGTTGATGGCGCTTCTGAAGTTGATGATGCCGAAGTCGTCAATGCCTCTGAAGATGACGTAAGTTCTTGTGTGGTGGTCGATACTGCAGGCGTGGAAGATAATTCTGTTGATATCTCTTGTGTAGATGAAGCTGAGGTTTGTGGTGATGTAGATTCTGTGGAGATCTGTTGTGTAGAGGATATTTCTTGTGACGTGGATGGAACTGACGACGATGTAATTACTGTCTCTGACGAGGTTGATTTTTGTGAAGTTGATGACGCTTCTGTAGATGTTGATGCAGGAGTTGTTAGTTCCTCTGATGTTGTAAGTTCCCTTGTCGTGGAAGTAGCTGCAGGTGTTGATGTCAGCTCTATTGTTGTCTCTTCTGTTGTGGAAGGTGGTGTTGGTGGAGCAGCCGGTGGTTTTGTAGATTCACTTGTAGCTTCTTGTGTAGATGGTAATTCTTGTGTTGTAGATAGGCTTGTTGGTGTCGAAGTAGCTGCTTCAGTTGACGATGGCTGTTGTGAAGATGATACTTCTGAAGTTGTTGATGCCGAAGACGTTTGTGCTTCAGACGTGGAAATACCTTGAGTCGTGGTCGATGCAGCAGGCGTGGAAGATAATTCTGTTGTTGTTTCTTGCGTAGATGAGGCTGAGGTTTGTGGTGATGTAGATTCTGTGGAGATCCGTTGTGTAGAGGATATTTCTTGTGACGTGGATGGAACTGACGACGATGTAATTACTGTCTCTGACGAGGTTGATTTTTGTGAAGTTGATGACGCTTCTGTAGATGTTGATGCAGGAGTTGTTAGTTCCTCTGATGTTGTAAGTTCCCTTGTCGTGGAAGTAGCTGCAGGTGTTGATGTCAGCTCTATTGTTGTCTCTTCTGTTGTGGAAGGCGGTGTTGGTGGAGCAGCTGGTGGTTTAGTAGATTCACTTGTAGCTTCTTGTGTAGATGGTAATTCTTGTGTTGTAGATAGGCTTGTTGGTGTCGAAGTAGCTGCTTCAGTTGATGTCGGCTGTTGTGAAGATGATACTTCTGAAGTTGTTGATGCCGAAGACGTTTGTGCTTCAGACGTGGAAATACCTTGAGTCGTGGTCGATGCAGTAAGATAATTCTGTTGTTGTCTCTTGCGTAGATGAGGCTGGGGTTTGTGGAAGATAATTCTGTTGTGTGTCTTTCTTGTGACGTGGAGATGACGACGAGTAATTACTGACGAGGTTGATTGCTGTGAAGTGATGTAGATTTGATGCAGTGGTGCCTCTGATGTTGAAGTCCCTTGTCGTGGAAGAGGCAGGTATGTCAGCTTGTGACGTGGGAAGGCGGTGTTGGTGGACAGCTGAGATTCACTTGTAGCTTCTTGTGTAGATGGTAATTCTTGTGTTGTAGATAGGCTTGTTGGTGTCGAAGTAGCTGCTTCAGTGATGTCGGCTGTTGTGAAGATGATACTTCTGAAGTTGATGCCGAAGACGTTTGTGCTTCAGACTACCTTGAGTCTGAATGCAGTAGGTGTGGATGATGTTGTTGTCTCTTGTGTAGATGGAGCTGAGGTTTGTGGTGATGTAGTTCAATGATACCTCTGAGAGGATATTGACGTACGAGTTTACTGTCTCCGATGATGTCGGCAGTGGTCGATGGCACTGCAAGTTGATGATGTCGAAGTCGTCAATGCCTCTGAAGATGACGTAAGTTCTTGTGTGGTGGTCGATACTGCAGGCGTGGAAGATAATTCTGTTGTTGTCTCTTGCGTAGATGAGGCTGGGGTTTGTGGTGATGTAGATTCTGTGGAGATCCGTTGTGTAGAGGATATTTCTTGTGACGTGGATGGAACTGACGACGATGTAATTACTGTCTCTGACGAGGTTGATTGTTGTGAAGTTGATGACGCTTCTGTAGATGTTGATGCAGGAGTTGTTAGTTCCTCTGATGTTGTAAGTTCCCTTGTCGTGGAAGTAGCTGCAGGTGTTGATGTCAGCTCTATTGTTGTCTCTTCTGTTGTGGAAGGTGGTGTTGGTGGAGCAGCCGGTGGTTTTGTAGATTCACTTGTAGCTTCTTGTGTAGATGGTAATTCTTGTGTTGTAGATAGGCTTGTTGGTGTCGAAGTAGCTGCTTCAGTTGACGTCGGCTGTTGTGAAGATGATACTTCTGAAATTGTTGATGCCGAAGACGTTTGTGCTTCAGACGTGGAAATACCTTGAGTCGTGGTCGATGCAGCAGGTGTGGAAGATAATTCTGTTGTTGTCTCTTGCGTAGATGAGGCTGAGGTTTGTGGTGAGAGGTTTGTGGTGATGTAGATTCTGTGGAGATCCGTTGTGTAGAGGATATTTCTTGTGACGTGGATGGAACTGACGACGATGTAATTACTGTCTCTGACGAGGTTGATTTTTGTGAAGTTGATGACGCTTCTGTAGATGTTGATGCAGGAGTTGTTAGTTCCTCTGATGTTGTAAGTTCCCTTGTCGTGGAAGTAGCTGCAGGTGTTGATGTCAGCTCTATTGTTGTCTCTTCTGTTGTGGAAGGCGG